AGACCAGGTTGATAAGAGGTACTTGATTAGATGCAGTTATATTGAAATCTACAATGAAAAGATCAATGACCTCCTGGATAAGAGCAATCAGGGTTTAACTATAAGAGAAGATATCAAAGGAAATGTGCTGCTTGATGCAAGAGAACCTGTCGTAGACAATGTTGATAAAGTTATGGAGAACATGATGCAGGGCAATAAGATCAGACGAGTTGCAGCTACTCGCATGAATGAGAGGTCATCTCGATCACACACGATTTTCCGGATTATTCTGGAGTCGAAAGATGCCAATCAGAAAGATGGACCTGTACATATAAGCTACCTTAACTTAATGGACTTAGCTGGTTCTGAGAGAGTTTCTCTGACGAAAGCTGCTGGTGAGCGTCTTAAAGAGGGGGCTAACATAAACAAATCTTTGTCAGTATTAGGAAATGTGATAAGGCAACTAAGCGAGGGGAAGGAGTTTATCAGTTATCGCGATTCGAAATTGACTAGACTGCTCTCACAGGCTCTTGGCGGTAATGCCAAATCATTGATTATCGGAAATGTTACTTTAGCTGCAGAGGAGACTAGATCTACACCAGAATTCGCCCAAAGCACTAAAACTGTCAAAAATAAACCGAAAGTAAACATCTTGTCAGCTACAGAAGAAGCACTTCAAGGATATCAGAACTTGACTCGCGATCTCGAAACTCGGCTCAAAAAGCAGGCAATTAAGCTAGAAGAGATGGAGAAAAGCAAACAAGAGTATCTGCTCGAGATAGAAAGACTAAAAACGGAAGTATCTATTGTCGGGCGCTTTAAAATGGGAGCCTCGTCATCAACACCGAAAAAACATTAAGACGTCATACTTTTGGAGACTATGGCAACGTATCACCTAAAAAAGCATCCCTACGGTATATGCCATTGAAAAATTATCCACCCAAAGAAGAATCATCCGGACGTGAAATGAGGCCTATTCAAGAAGAGACATATGAGGAGGCACTAGCCGAAGCAGAATCTGTGATAGCTGAAGACGGCCTGCAAGTGTACTTAAAAGACAACTCAAAGAACTGGAAGAATCTTTCAATGAGCTTAGAGAATTCACTAAACTAGATAATCAGCTGGAGATTTTGGACCTGAAGAAACAGCTCACAGAAGCCAATTCTAAATCGATCGTTACAGTCAGGAACTCCGCCAAGTAACGGATGCGTACAACGAAGAAATAGAAAGGGTTCAAAAAAATTCTCAAAAGCGCAAGAATTTCATCGACTTGCAATACAGACTCGATTTTCTGGAAAAACATTATAAAAAGACTAAAACATACGAGTCAGAATAGAGATGCTGCGTACTCAACTGAAGAACCTAGGAAGATCAGAGAGCCCTTAACTATCTCTTGAAGCTCAAAATATTGAGTCAAAAAAGAAGGTTGCAGGCTTAGAAGCTACGCTTGACGCTGAGTATGAAGATATGCAAGATTCTTTAAGTGCTGCTACACAAACTGATGTAACGATGTCACAGATTGCTGAACTGCAAGATGAAATTGGCTTCCTAAAAGAACTTGAATCTAAACTGAGAAATGACGTAAAGAGTCTGATGGACGAGAGTAATCAACGTGAGGTCAACCACTCATTTAAAGTCTCAGATATACGATGCCATAATGATTCTACTATAAAAGAGCTTCAGGATCAATGGCTGAACTGGAATGCCAAAACGAAATCTGGATTATGAAAAATGACGACGAAATCAGAAAATTGCAACAACTAATTACAAACCCGAAGCTGGCTGGCACTTAACCAGAACCACCTGTGCAGGAAGACGTTGCATTTTATAGGGAGCAAGTTGAGTTCTCCCAGAACATGTACAAAATGAGATAATAGGTGGAGAGTTACGTATAAACCATAGAGAAAATCTTCAGGCAGTTAAACTAGAAATATGTCTACCCTTGTTTAGTGTTTACGATTATTGCAGGGTATGGACAAAGTTTAGGGCTGATCCCACGGACCACGATAGCACCTAGGACTTAAGATTGTGAATCTAGTCTTGGTAACCGCTCACAGTGTACAATTTTCAGCTAATAAATCTTGAATTCTGAGGTAACAAAATCAACTAGAACTCTGTAAAAGTGATTTATCAGAAATCATGCCCTTACTTCCATGATAAGAGGAATTCGTAAAAATTATAAGCAGGTTGTGGCTTATTATCTAGTAAAAGATACAAGAATCCCAGATCTGAAAACGATTATTGTTCATGTGATCACAAACTTGCAGCGACTTGGTTTGTGCGTCGTTGGCACTATTTGTAATCAGGGCGCAACGATCAAAAACGCACTTGAGACGATTTGCTCGGAGAATACTCACGGATCAAGTCCATTCCATTTTATAGCAATGCTCAGAGTATTTCTACAATTTTGATGAACCACATTTATTCAAAAATGGATGAAATGCTCTTATTGACATTAATATGAAAGTGAAGAAGCTGCACAGCTTGAACATGTCTAGAAAGCAAATAATGTTGATCAGCAAACAAGACCATACAAGAGCTATGTAAATTGAAACCCAGCCACTTTGATTTTATAGATTCGTTTAAGAATATAGAAATTAATCCTTTAATGGTATCGTCGGGTGATTCGAGCTTTCTCAGTTATGTGGTGGGGTCCCGTGACTTCTCATACGGTATAAGCACGTATACCTCAAACCACAGTTTAATTTAACATCACAAGTGTTGGTTTGTTGACTTTGCGGTCAAATTTGATCCGAGGATGTCAGTTGCGTGTACGATTTGAACTTGCTTCACAATGGATTTTTCGTTGTTGGCGGATGAACAATACACCACGCCGAGGACGACGCTGTTAGCGATCAACCTGAACAACTTCCTATGGGCGACCTCGCTATGCTTATAGAAAAAACATGTACAATTGGTCAAAACAAGCGCCTGCAACTGGTCGATCCAGACGACAATATTATTACGCATTTACCTGAACTAAGTCCGTGGCAACCAATTTGGAAAATAATAACCCTGTGACTCGAGAAATGCAGATAAATTTCTCCAAATACGTGAAATTTTCGAGACACTCATAGAGAACTGTCGAAATTTTTATATTTCGGGTGAGTCCCCTACAAAATACGAGATGCTCGTGGGCCGATGTCCTTCCTGTGCCTACAAGAAAACTAAACCGAATAAGTATGGACTGATGATGCAAAGACTCACCACTACCTGCTCAATGCTTTCGTCTATACGAACAGAAATATCACACCAGTAGAATTACATGTAGAATTGCGCATCAACCAACTGACCAATGTCGGCAGGAAGCGTAAAAATAAGTAACAAGTATCCCAACATGTAGTTCCGAATAAGAAGGAAACACAGCCAGGTACTTCTAAGTTTATGTTCACTAGCACTACAGCCTTAGTGTAGTATCTTCCAAAACCAAATACACATGTTCTCGTATAGCAATCTATGCAGCATGATAACAAAATAGTAGAGGAATCAAAGAAACCTGATAAGATTCTATATTATTTTTATAACACTATGAAGGCGGGGGGTAATGCATTAGATCGGAAGTGTGTAAATTACAATACTGGTTAGAGAACGAGAAGATGGCCTTGTGCTATTTGGTATCCAACCAGCTTCTGTAAATTCCTTTTTTTTTCAGTCTGGGACTGAAAGTTCTATTAGGCGACGAAATTTTATTGTTCCCTGAGCGTTTTATGCGTACAAACCTGTTGTACACATGGCTAAAAACAGTAATGGCATTTCAGAAGTTGATAGTAAGATCCGGTGGATAACCTGTTTTGCGAGATTAGACGTGGGATTTCCAACACGAACACCATCTGCTTATTTGCAGCATTAAAAACTGTAATAATCAACAATTTCAGTTTTCCATTGTCAATAATGAAGAATTATGAAGGCGATTCATGTAAGGCACTAGGTAACTTCGCGTTGCTTTTAGAAGAGTATTGTCTGAATAGACAACAGTTACCTTGTGATTCTTCACCGAGCTGCATTTTTCAAGTTGAAAAATCGGGTGCTGAAAGTGATGGATCTATAGATTTGTGAGAATTTGCTTCTGCTTCAACTTCTTTTTGTAATAACAATAACAGTCTATATGAAATTTAACAATTCTGTTTCTTCTTTGATTTTGAGTCACCCTGTAAATGTAGCTCTACTAAACTATCGGACCGCATTCATAGCCTACAAGAGAAAAAAATCTTCTATACTGGAAAGGAGGAAAAAAAGAATGTATCAACCTGATACATCTGCCCCTCTTTATAACCCGTGAAATAGCCCTAGTTCTAATTAAATTTCAGTTCAAGCTTCCAAAATGACTTCCGACAATATTAAAATAGCCATAAAGATCAGACCAATGATCCACCGCGAAGTAGCCGATGGTCTAGAGCGTCTTTGGAACGTAAGAGAAAACTGCATTTGGGAAGCCGATGAAAGTGGTCGCCATGGAGAGGTTTATATATTCGACCATGTATTTAACCAGGAATGTACAAATTCAGATGTATATGGATCTGTAGTAAAACCTTTAGTCGATTCCTTCATGGAAGGTTTCAATGCAACAATATTTGCATATGGCCAAACATCTTCTGGCAAAACACACACCATTTGGGCAATAAAACAGATCCTGGGCTTTTCCAATTAGTATCCAATCAGTTATTCCAGCTGTGGCAGACCAGGTTGATAAGAGGTACTTGATTAGATTCAGTTATATTGAAATCTACAATGAAAAGATCAATGACCTCCTGGATAAGAGCAATCAGGGTTTAACTATAAGGGAAGATATCAAAGGAAATGTGCTGTTTGATGCAAGGGAAGCTGTCGTAGACAATGTTGATCAAGTTATGGAGAACATGATGTAGGGCAATAAGATCAGACGAGTTGCAGCTATTCGCATGAATGAGAGGTCATCTCGATCACACACGATTTTCCGGATTATTCTGGAGTCGAAAGATGCCAATCAGAAGATGGACCTGTACATATAAGCTACCTTAACTCAATGGACTTAGCTGGTTCTGAGAGAGTTTCTCTGACGAAAGCTGCTGGTGAGCATCTTAAAGAGGGGGCTAACATAAACAAATCTTTGTCAGTATTAGGAAATGTGATAAGGCAACTAAGCGAGGGGAAGGAGTTTATCAGTAATCGCGATTCGAAATTGACTAGACTGCTCTCACAGGCTCTTGGCAGTAATGCCAAATCATTGATTATCGGGAATGTTACTTCAGCTGCAGAGGAGGAGACTAGATCTACACTAGAATTCGCCCAAAGCACTAACACTGTCAAAAATAAACCGAAAGCAAACATCTTGTCAGCTACAGAAGAGGCACTTCAAGGATATCAGAACTTGACTCGCGATCTCGAAACTCGGCTCAAAAAGCAGGCAATTAAGCTAGAAGAGATGGAGAAAAGCAAACAAGAGTATCTGCTCGAGATAGAAAGACTAAAAACGGAAGTATCTATTGTCGGGCGCTTCCAAATGGGAGCCTCGGCATCAACACCGAAAAAACATTAAGACGTCATACTTTTGGACACTATGGCAACGTATCACCTAAAAAAGCATCCTAGGGTATATTCCATTGAAAAATTATCCACCCAAAGAAGAATCATCCGGACGTGAAATGAGGCCTATTCAAGAAGAGACATATGAGGAGGCACTAGCCGAAGCAGAATCTGTGATAGCTGAAGACGTGCAAGTGTACTTAAAAGACAACGCAAAGAACTGGAAGAATCTTTCAATGAGCTTAGAGAATTCACTAAACTAGATAATCAGCTGGAGATTTTGGACCTGAAGAAACAGCTCACAGAAGCCAATTCTAAAATCGATCGTTACAGTCAGGAACTCCGCCAAGTAACGGATGCGTACAACGAAGAAATAGAAAGAGTTCAAAAAAATTCTCAAAAAGCGCAAGAATTTCATCGACTTGCAATACAGACTCGATTTTCTGGAAAAAAATAATAAAAAGACTAAAAACATACGAGTCAGAAATAGAGATGCTGCGTACTCACTGAAGAACCTAGGAAGATCAGAGAGCCCTAAACCATCTCTTGAAGCTCAAAATATTGAGTCAAAAAAGAAGGTTGCAGACTTAGAAGCTATGCTTGACGCTGAGTACGAAGATATGCAAGATTCTTTAAGTGCTGCTACACAAACTGATGTAACTATGTCACACATTGCTGAACTGCAAGATGAAATTGGCTTCCTAAAAGAACTTGAATCTAAACTGAGAAATGACGTAAAGAGTCTGATGGAACGAGAGTAACCAACGTGAGGTCAACCACTCATTTAAAATCTCAGATATACGATACCATAATGATTCTACTATAAAAGAGCTTCAGGATCAAATGGCTGAACTGGAATGCAAAACGAAATCTGGATTATGAAAAGTGCCCCTCTTTATAACCCGTGAAATAGCCCTAGTTCTAATTAAATTTCAGTTCAAGCTTCCAAAATGACTTCCGACAATATTAAAGTAGCCACAAAGATCAGACCAATGATCCACCGCGAAGTAGCCGATGGTCTAGAGCGTCTTTGGAACGTAAGAGTAAACTGCATATGGGAAGCCGATGAAAGTAGTCGCCATGGAGAGGTTATATATTCGACCATGTATTTAAGCAGGAATGTACAAATTCAGATGTATATGGATCTGTAGTAAAACCTTTAGTCGATTCCTTCATGGAAGGTTTCAATGCCACAATATTTGCATATGGCCAAACATCTTCTGGCAAAACACACACCATTTTGGGCAATAAAACAGATCCTGGGCTTTTCCAATTAGTATCCAATCAGTTATTCCAGCATGTGGCAGACCAGGTTGATAAGAGGTACTTGATTAGATGCAGTTATATTGAAATCTACAATGAAAAGATCAATGACCTCCTGGATAAGAGCAATCAGGGTTTAACTATAAGAGAAGATATCAAAGGAAATGTGCTGCTTGATGCAAGGGAAGCTGTCGTAGACAATGTTGATAAGTTATGGAGAACATGATGCAGGGCAATAAGATCAGACGAGTTGCAGCTACTCGCATGAATGAGAGGTCATCTCGATCACACACGATTTTCCGGATTATTCTGGAGTCGAAAGATGCCAATCAGAAAGATGGACCTGTACATATAAGCTACCTTAACTTAATGGACTAGCTGGTTCTGAGAGAGTTCTCTGACGAAAGCTGCTGGTGAGCGTCTTAAAGAGGGGGCTAACATAAACAAATCTTTGTCAGTATTAGGAAATGTGATAAGGCAACTAAGCGAGGGGAAGGAGTTTATCAGTTATCGCGATTCGAAATTGACTAGACTGCTCTCACAGGCTCTTGGCGGTAATGCCAAATCATTGATTATCGGAATGTTACTTTAGCTGCAGAGGAGGAGACTAGATCTACACCAGAATTCGCCCAAAGCACTAAAACTGTCAAAAATAAAACGAAAGTAAACATCTTGTCAGCTACAGAAGAGACACTTCAAGGATATCAGAACTTGACTCGCGATCTCGAAACTCGGCTCAAAAAGCAGGCAATTAAGCTAAAAAGAGATGGATAAAAGCAACAAGAGTATCTGCTCGAGATAGAAAGACTAAAAACGGAAGTATCTATTGTCGGGCGCTTTCAAATGGGAGCCTCGGCATCAACACCGAAAAAAACATTAAGACGTCATACTTTTGGACACTATGGCAACGTATCACCTAAAAAAGCATCCCTAGGGTATATGCCATTGAAAAAATTATCCACCCAAAGAAGAATCATCCGGACGTGAAATGAGGCCTATTCAAGAGAGACATATGAGGAGCACTAGCCGAAGCAGAATCTGTGATAGCTGAAGGACGTGCAAGTGTACTTAAAAGACAACTCAAAGAACTGGAAGAATCTTTCAATGAGCTTAGAGAATTCACTAAACTAGATAATCAGCTGGAGATTTTGGACCTGAAGAAACAGCTCACAGAAGCCAATTCTAAATTCGATCGTTACAGTCAGGAACTCCGCCAAGTAACGGATGCGTACAACGAAGAAATAGAAAGAGTTCAAAAAAATTCTCAAAAAGCGCAAGAATTTTCATCGACTTGCAATACAGACTCGATTTTCTGGAAAAAAATAATAAAAAGACTAAAAACATACGAGTCAGAAATAGAGATGCTGCGTACTCAACTGAAGAACCTAGGAAATCAGAGAGCCCTAAACCATCTCTTGAAGCTCAAAATATTGAGTCAAAAAAGAAGGTTGCAGACTTAGAAGCTATGCTTGACGCTGAGTACGAAGATATGCAAGTTTCTTTAAGTGCTGCTACACAAACTGATGTAACGATGTCACACATTGCTGAACTGCAAGATGAAATTGGCTTCCTAAAGAACTTGAATCTAAACTGAGAAATGACGTAAAGAGTCTGATGGACGAGAGTAACCAACGTGAGGTCAACCACTCATTTAAAATCTCAGATATACGATGCCATAATGATTCTACTATAAAAGAGCTTCAGGATCAAATGGCTGAACTGGAATGCCAAAACGAAATCTGGATTATGAAAAGTGCCCTCTTTATAACCCGTGAAATAGCCCTAGTTCTAATTAAATTTCAGTTCAAGCTTCCAAAATGACTTCCGACAATATTAAAGTAGCCACAAAGATCAGACCAATGATCCACCGCGAAGTAGCCGATGGTCTAGAGCGTCTTTGGAACGTAAGAGTAAACTGCATATGGGAAGCCGATGAAAGTAGTCGCCATGGAGAGGTTTATATATTCGAGACCATGTATTTAAGCAGGAATGTACAAATTCAGATGTATATGGATCTGTAGTAAAACCTTTAGTCGATTCCTTCATGGAAGGTTTCAATGCCACAATATTTGCATATGGCCAAACATCTTCTGGCAAAACACACACCATTTTGGGCAATAAAACAGATCCTGGGCTTTTCCAATTAGTATCCAATCAGTTATTCCAGCATGTGGCAGACCAGGTTGATAAGAGGTACTTGATTAGATGCAGTTATATTGAAATCTACAATGAAAAGATCAATGACCTCCTGGATAAGAGCAATCAGGGTTTAACTATAAGAGAAGATATCAAAGGAAATGTGCTGCTTGATGCAAGGGAAGCTGTCGTAGACAATGTTGATAAAGTTATGGAGAACATGATGCAGGGCAAGATCAGACGAGTTGCAGCTACTCGCATGAATGAGAGGTCATCTCGATCACACACGATTTCCGGATTATTCTGGAGTCGAAAGATGCCAATCAGAAAGATGGACCTGTACATATAAGCTACCTTAACTTAATGGACTTAGCTGGTTCTGAGAGAGTTTCTCTGACGAAAGCTGCTGGTGAGCGTCTTAAAGAGGGGGCTAACATAAACAAATCTTTGTCAGTATTAGGAAATGTGATAAGGCAACTAAGCGAGGGGAAGGAGTTTATCAGTTATCGCGATTCGAAATTGACTAGACTGCTCTCACAGGCTCTTGGGGTAATGCCAAATCATTGATTATCGGGAATGTTACTTTAGCTGCAGAGGAGGAGACTAGATCTACACCAGAATTCGCCCAAAGCACTAAAACTGTCAAAAATAAAACGAAAGTAAACATCTTGTCAGCTACAGAAGAGACACTTCAAGATATCAGAACTTGACTCGCGATCTCGAAACTCGGCTCAAAAAGCAGGCAATTAAGCTAAAAGAGATGGATAAAAGCAAACAAGAGTATCTGCTCGAGATAGAAAGACTAAAAACGGAAGTATCTATTGTCGGGCGCTTTCAAATGGGAGCCTCGGCATCAACACCGAAAAAAACATTAAGACGTCATACTTTGGACACTATGGCAACGTATCACCTAAAAAAGCATCCCTAGGGTATATGCCATTGAAAAATTATCCACCCAAAGAAGAATCATCCGGACGTGAAATGAGGCCTATTCAAGAAGAGACATATGAGGAGGCACTAGCCGAAGCAGAATCTGTGATAGCTGAAGACGTGCAAGTGTACTTAAAAGACAACTCAAAGAACTGGAAGAATCTTTCAATGAGCTTAGAAATTCACTAAACTAGATAATCAGCTGGAGATTTTGGA